GACGCCACTGGTTGTTTGTACGCAAGCATAGGTTTGTTAGGTATGATTTTATGAAGTACAGGGTCGCTATCTAGTATAGGTTGTAGATCGTTGATAATGTGTTGTAATGGTTCAACGAGTGGATTATATGTGACGATAAGTGGGACACGATGATCGGTCTCCAAGAAGGAGACCGATCATCGTCAAAAGTCAGGATTACTTACGATCCATACGATTACTGTTACAAGAAGTTGGAGCGAAAACAGCCGCGCCTTCTTCGTGCTGTGTCAAAGAAAAATTAAGCCGGTAACGATTCTTACAAGTTGATTTTATCATGGAGGTAATATTTTATTAACTACCACGAACGGCAAAGACTGTCCTAAAGCTGTTACGTGCATGTTACTGTTAAATATGGGTTTTTGGTGTCTTTTTAATGAGTAGTATAACACAGTTCCTTTTAGTACACTGCAAACTTTTATTCACACAAACTGTACGTTGGTTACAATCAGCTAAACTCCAGGTTTCAGATGTTAGAGAACCCTTTTTGAGTGGAGTCAGCTCGGCCCTGTACTTTTCTTCTGTGTACTCTACTAAATTGAATCTAACTACTGACTCATGATATGGGGGTGTTTGCCTATTATACTTTAGGTAATGGGGTGTGTATCAAGTAAGTCACCCCATACTTTGAGAGTTTCTGATTGGATCAGAGAAATTCTTTCTTTTCTCTATGATTTAGTAACTTGTTCAAAAAACTGCTAATTAAGATGTATCACAAACTTCAGAGCTTAGGCTCAAAACTGACAATCATAGATTCATAGTGTGAGAAAGGCCAAGTCCAACTGACTAGGGTAAAGTTATACAATGTCCAGTTATATTATTAGATTATCTGTATACTCAAGTTGACCATTAAAACTGTCAAACCAATTTAAGGCATTTATCAGGTGAAGGGTATCGATTCAAATGGTTATGCAAGTTAATACCATTGATCCTTAATACTACATTACATTACGTCAAGTGGAATTTTCTTTTGCAATTGCCATATGGTAACATTCCTAACTTTCTGTCTGGTTAACAATCGCCTAGTCCTATAGTACTTACTTATAGACCTATATTTAAATCGTTTACTACTTTTAATTAATTTTAGTTTTAATTTAGAATATTTGTTACTTTATTAATTGAATTACATATTGATATTGTGTAAATTAAATTTAATCATATAATTTTTTTACTAGAGTAATATTTTTATCTTAATTTATATTTGCTTTGTAAATTGTTTTTAAATGACTTAATGATGTGTATAATTTATATATTTTTATTGTAATGTTTCCTGTATTCATGTTTTTTAAAAAATGTTTCTGGTGGTTGAATTTGTTCGGGTGTAATTTGATTATTTGTTACTTTATTATTAAATTACATATTGTATAGTCTATACTGTGTAATGAAAATTAAATTATTAGTGTGTAATGTATTTATCTTAATTAAATTCATTATATATATACATATATACATATATATACATGTATACACACACATATATATATATACACATATGTACATACAAATATATATATATTAATACATATATATACATTTATTATATAAATACGAATAATATAAATGAAATAATTCGGTACAAAATACATGAAAATACTTGCTGTGGTTTAGCTACTGTCACTCAAATTAAATCTTCAGTTCCAAATTAGAATTGTTCAATTCAGGTTGTGTAAAAGTCAAAATGTTCAAAGCAAAAATTGTTCAAAGTCCAACACCATCATGCTCCACACAGGCTGTCCCACGAATTGTCTTTCTCTATTGATCACATCTCGACAACTAACCCATCATTTCTCAAACATCGTTATTTAACAAGTCCTAAGTCATTCACCCCTTTTCATGGTTTTACTCCCTTTCTCAGAAACTACACCCTTCTACATACCTACTGTCTTACACATCCCCATCTCTTCAATCACAAAATTACTAACCACGATGATTAAAGCACCACAAAACTCACACTTTCACTTCTTGGACATTGTAAATAATTATAATGATGAAACTGACACTGGTAACAATATACATATATACATATATATACATATATTCCTTTTATTATTTGCTTTGTTAATTGTTTTATAGCGATTAATTTGTATAATTTATTTTTTATTTACTTTTATTATAATGTTATATATTATGATCAGGTGGTTGAACCAGTCACATAGGTGTACTTTCACCTGATTTCTTCTAACTTGACTATTGTCTATTCATGTTGTGAGTAGAATTTAAATAAAATTTTTAAAAAATAAGATAAAATCATCAGTAATGAAAAAATTATTAAGGATAATTTTTCATTTTTATTGTCGAAACGTTAAATCCCAACACATGGCGTGTATTTCATTACTTGGAGTCTACATCCGGCGTACACACGCACATGAAAGCCACTACACAGTACATACATCACACCATAAATTACATCATATTGAAAGAAGAGCCCAATGTTTACAAGTATGTTTTCTACTCAGTCACAAACGTGCATGCATAATGTTTAGTTCGGGCTCAGCTGTATATACCCTCGGTTCATGGATCGCATTTTACTGGATCGCCTTATGTTTTCACACCAGAACAATACATTTAACTCCGATTAAAATAGATTAAATGTAGAAGCTTGCCTTATCCCAAGGTCTTGCTGGGTTTAATTCCCGACTACAGGACTTTCTCACGACTGAAAAAACAGAAGCAATTCCAATCTCTAAGCCTCGTATAAAAAGACTTGGTTAGGCATTGTTCCATCCTGTAGTTGACACAAGTTACTTACTGATGGATTCGAATGATTTTTTAAGCGCGACCTAGGCGTTTAGACCAGGGAGATGTACATCTCCCTGTTTAGACTAGGATTGGTATAGTATACTGTAGTATATGTCTAAATGTCTACTGTCTATTGGAAGTCGAAATTGGTATTGTATAAAATAATTTTAACTCTCTTTTACTGCACTCTCTTCCTACTTAGCTTTAAGGTATTGATATGCACCCATTTAATTACACAAATATCACCACTACATCAACGAGCTACAGTTTGCTATTTTCTTACCTTGTGTATAATACTTGTGATAATGATGGACCGCTTTCTTTGCACACTCAGTACTGTCAATACTTGTCCTTTCGCTTATCTCTGGAGTCAATGTGCTGCAAATGATAGCTTTATCCGAGTTACACTGAATCACGCATGAACGAATTCGTCCAATTGCTTGAAAGTCTGCTTTCTAAACTCCGCCCACTTCGGGGAGACCGCAGCATCATATCTCATTTCTCAATGTACAGGTATTACAGTTCACCCTCCCAATAATTCGAGACCATTGAAACAGAAGTGGTGGCAGTGGGGAAAGGAGAGCAGGGGGAAAACAACACAATTCGTTTGGAGAGAAAAAAATACATGTTTTTTTTCTAACATATTAATACAAAATTGATTAAACAAACCTTTGAAACACCTAAATTGTCATAGTTGCCGTGGTTCGCACCCTGTGCCACCAGATATCTCAAGTACGGAACGTCTGTAGTTAGACCTATTTTCTATGGATAAATAGACAAAAATACTAGGCCTACGAAAATTTATCCTAGGTGTAACGTCCAGAAAAAATGACTTTTCCAACATCAGGATCTGTGGTTACATTGTCCCTAACAACTCATACTTGTCGGATTACTGTACTGATAAATTATTGTGAGTAAGTAAGAAAAATTGGCCCGAAAATATTCATCCTGTCCCCCTCTTGTTTTGAAATTCCACATCGAATTGCAGACAATCGGGCCCATTTTCAAAATAAGTTATACTCAAGTTATATCTTGTGTAACCAGTGTACAAAAATGGTACAGAAGGGAAAGTATTTAAAATAACTCCCCTACCTCCCTAAATTCCATGATAGACAAGACAAAGAAGCTTGCTGACCATAAGAATAATTAATGGGATTATTCACCTTGCCTGATAACCACTGGCTATGTATTGGTATAAACATGGAGGTATAAACTACTAGCTAAATGGTCAACCACTTGTCTAGGTAATTATACCCTGTAATGTGACCTAACAAAGGGTCTCAGGAATGTTGTCGATAATTAGGGAGGGGAACGAATCAGATAAAAGTACAGTAGATTGTTTCACAAACAAATTCACAACATCTACTCTTAAGCTAAAGAGAGCAGTAGGTTCTCCTGCCGAAACCTAGTTGTCTAACACTCTCCATTGCTCAACAAATTCAGGTAAGACCAGCATGCTTTATTATTTTTTAGCTTAACCAGTTTAGTTAAGTCAACTGAATGTTTAGATTATTTAATATAACTGTCTATAATATATGCAACCCTTTTACCAAGTTAATCTTAAATTGCCTCTCACCTATTATGTGTTTTAAGTAACTTTATATTCTGTTAATGAAATTATTATTTGCATTTATAGCTAAAACGCTATTACATGATAAACACTGATTATTATCATAATCAGTCCATGATCCATATATTGATTATATTGTTCCATTGAATAAAGTCTTGAGCATTACACAACATCTACTCTTAAGCTAAAGAGAGCAGGTTCTCCTGTCGAAACCCAGTTGTCTAACACTCTCCATTGCTCAACAAATGTAGGTGTTGAGAGAAGATTCCCAAAGTCATACTGAGTGAAGGATTGGAATCCGCACCTATCAGAAGACTTGGTAATCGTGAACAGTGTTAAGACCTACGAATCAACAGCATCCCTACTGAGTGATTCAAATACATCGAGCAAGATGTTTGTCAACAAAATATAAGTTTAACTTGTACTTATTATATTATATGTTATTTGTAACCTGACTGCGTTTTAGCAATAATTACTATTTTGTATAATTTCGATTTGATGATATAATATATGCTCACTTAAAGCCAAACACTGTTTAATTTGATTCATTACAAGTCCAGTGCCTCCTTCGTCAAGCCTATCCGAACCCCGCTCACCTCAATCTTAAGGCATCATCTTATGTATTGTGTGTAGAGCGGTTACACTTGCACTTAAGTTATATCTTATAAGTTTGAAGATTGTTAGTACAGGCACCGGGTCTGCGGCCCGGTACAGGGATGTACTTTTAAGAGGTGGTCTTGAATTAGGGGAGGCTCGGAATGGAATCCTATGGTGTCGATGTGGTGGGTGAAACAAAGAAATGATCAAATATAATATTAACTTCCACTGAAATACAAATTGGAAAAAGTTTGGGCCTGGTTATCATAAAATTGCTACAATTTCGCTACAGTGATTTCATCAGTGTACGAACGAAAAGCTCCAGGAGAACCAACACACCAGAGCGCAAGTCATTGGGAAGGGTCATTCGTTTGGTACGGTAATCGTTGAATCTCAAAATATGTGTCTTTTCGGAGTTACTGTCTCTTTGTTAGCAGATCACTCAAATTAATAAAAACTATGGAAAGCCCCAGCTGTCTTAAGCCTACAAAAACTATTATATTATTTATGTTTGCTATTATATTATTTACGTTTACTATTATATTATTTACGTTTATTATTATATTATTTAAAATTATTATTATATTATATATGTTTATTATTATATTATTTATGCCTATTAGTATATTATGTACGTTTATTATTATATTATTTATGTTTATTATTATATTATATATGTTTATTATTATATTATATGCGTTTATTATATTATGCCCATTTATTATTATATTAAATATGTTTATTGTTATATTATTTACATTTATTATATTATATATGTTATTTTTATATTACGTACGTTTATTATATTATTTACATTTAGTAATATATTACGTACGTTTATTATTATATTGTATACGTTTGTTACTATATTTTATATGTTTAGTATTATACTATTTACGTTTGTTATTATATTATGTACGTTTCATGTTATATTATGTATGTCTTTTATTTTATTATGTACGTTATTATTATATTATATATGTTTACCATTATTTACGTCTATTAGTATATTATGTACGTTTATTATTATTATATTATACATGTTTATTATTATATTACAGACGTTTATTATTACATGATGTACGTTTAGTATTATATTATATACGTTTATTATTATATTATGTACGTTCAGTATATATTATGTGTGTCTATTAGTATATTACGTAGTCTATTATTATTATATTACATACGTTTATTTTATTATTTACATATAGTAACATACTATTGACGTTATTATTATATTATACGTTACTATGATATTATTTACGTTTGTTGTTATATTATATAGGTTAAGTATTATATTATACACGTCTGTTATTGTATTATGTAAGTTTTGCATTGTAGTATTTACGTTTGCTATTATATTATGTATGTTTAGTATTATATTATTACGTCTATTATTATATTATGTATGTTGTTATTATATCGTTCATTTATTATTATATTATAAAAGTTTAGTATTATATTATCAATACACTATTATTAATTATGTACATTCATTATTATTTTGTTTAATTCACTATTATATTATCTCCTTCCTTATGATGTTATACACATCACTATTATTTCATTGCAGTTCATTTGTATAGGGCAGTTGAGCAGTATATTATGGAAGTTGAGTAGTACATCATGGCTGTTCATTATGTTGTTATACCAACTTTTTATATTTCCTGTACAGAGGATTGTGGGCTGGCTGTTAGTAGGGCAATTCTTGACCCTAGGTCAGACCACAGATAACTGTATCTAGCTAGGCAGTAAAACCACAAGCTCGCACTGGCAGCCTCTTGTATTGACTGAAACACAGAGAATTGGGCCTGTGGCAGAGTTACTTTTAGGAAGACTTCTGTGGTAGGGTACATGTGTTAACCACCTCTTAATTTTTCAACAATGGCAGTGTAGGGCACTTGTTGACCCTACCAAAGATATTAGAGAAACACAAGTGCGGTGATTTTATGCTGTGCGACGAAATACCACCGTTTCCCCAATTCAGTCTAAACTAAAGATCTTTGGTGTAGGCCTAAATAACCTTTCGCAGGCACAGGCCTATTCAAGAAGGGGGACCACCCGCTCCCCCTAAATTTTTCAAAAATTGTAAAACATTGGAGGAAAAAAAATTACATTCAAACTTTAAGTCTGAGAGTGTCCGGTCATCTAGAGGCCATACTCGTAAAGTTTCTTATTTCAGTCCCAACCATGGTGGGGCTGAGGTGATTCAGATCCTCCATCTGTCAAACTCCCTCCTTGGGCCCCCTCTATTTCAAATCCCTGGCAATTGGCAAGGTCTTTGGACTCATTGCTGGCACCTCATCAATGTTTTTTATTTATTTCATTGTGAAAAGGCCCTAAAAAATGTCTGTAAAAAATGTGAACCTTTGAAAATTTGGGGAGTGGGGGGGGGGGAGGTCGTACGACCTTTCCCACTCCCTCCCTTGGGTACACTCATGCCTACTGTATATGGGTGTCTACAAAACGAAGCCCAAGGACCCGAAAAACGAAGACCACATGTTTTTCTCTTAATCGTGATAGCAATTTTGTTGTTGTTGTTTTTTTTTAAATCATTTCATGCTATGTATATATAATATTTAGCTTTCTAGCACATTAATTGCCTGAATTTGAGTCAATTTAATGTTATTCTGGTGGAGGTTTTCGTTTTTGCAGGTTTTCGGTCTTCGTTTTCTAGACACCCAGGGTGTCTATAAAGCGGAGACACTTGATAACATCACAAACAAAAGTACAGTATAAATAATCTCTATTATGATTTTGTGACAGTCTGGTGTAGTATCATTAAAAAAGAGAGAAAAGTGTGGGTCTTCGATTTTCGTGTCTTGGGTCTTTGTTTTGTACACACCCATATAGGATGTCTATAAAACGAAGACCCTTGAAAACAGACATCCCAAAAAATTTCGCAATTTTGATATTGTGACTGCCTGGTGTATTATCAAATTGGGTTCTTCGTTTTTGGGTCTTCTTTCTTCGGTCTTCATTTTATAGACACCCATCAATTAAATGTGGAAGAAAACAAATTTTCGGGGTTAGAGCGCACCTCTCAGGGTCATCTGCCGATGAATGTGTGTTCTCTGGGGTTGAAAATTGGAAATATAAAAATTTTGTGTAAGTCTGGTTTGTGTGTATAATGTAAATGTAGTATAAATCTGTTTCGTATTCTCGGAACCTGGAAAATATGCTCGATAAATTGTTTATTTCGTCGCACAGCATAAAAACATCGCACTTGCGTTTCT